TTAAACGTCCTATTCGTTTTTTGAAAATTTTCTCTCATCTCTCAAATACTTTTCTTTATCACTTTCTACCAAGTCGGATTCATACAAGGTCGCACGCGAAACTTGTAATTTGTGCAAACGTTTTTTGATTTACTACTGATCTTATGTTGTGATGAGAAGTACTCTCAGATTTATACAAGCTTTAGAAATTCAGAAATGGGTAGTGTGGACTTACAAAAAAGAACTAAGTTTTTGAAAAGCTGATAGTATTTCTTACAGTCTCTATGCTTTACGACAATCTTCCTCATCGTCTATCTTCCTCTGGTCATTGTGCAGAAACTTTATTCGTCCTTGTTGCCGTACAACATGAGCCTTTCGGCTGACACTCCACTCAGTGAACTTTCGCTCGAGCTTCTGATTTTGCAGGTAATTACCGGAGTTATTCACTGATTTGTAGCAAAGTATTGTTTAGGTGGTTCTACCTGCTTTATTAGAGCAAACGCAAGCTCGATTTTTGCTCAAAACTATCGTGATGTGGTGGTGCGTGCATGTCGGGGGCGCTCTCAGTTTGGATAGGTAAGTGTCATTATTTTTCCAATCTAGCCAACAGTGGCTAATTTTGGTTTTTGTGTTATGTACAGTTTTTATCGAAGCTTATTTGAAGGTACCTTCTGCCTGATTTACCGAATCCTGAGCACCAGCAAGATGGCGCTGGAGCGCAAGGTGCGGGTGGTCTAGCTGCTGAACACCAGGTACATAGTAGAGTAGTACATAGTAAAGAATTTGAATCATTCAAACTTAGGCGTTGCTGCTTCTTCGTGAACCGCAGGCTTTCCAGCCCTACATTCGCCCTCGATTCTTTCCTCTCCGAGTTCTGGTACTTCTTGCGACTATGGCAGCCACATGCTGTTTTGCAAGCTGCTTACTTTTCCTTGTACCAGGTAATTTTTCTCAATCCTTTTTCGAAATTTGTGATCTATCTAATCGTTTGTGCAGTGGTTGTTGGAAGAGCGATCATCCACAATCTGACTGGCTACTCTAATGTGCACGAGCTTTACACTGTAAGTATCAATTATCCTACTGGCAGCTCAATGCGCTAGAGCTGTTAATGTTTGGATTTTAGGTTGGAACGGGCTTGTATGTATGCTGGATGTCTGTGAAAATGGGTTTACTTACGTTGCATTGGTTCCACCTCGGTCTAAATCATCTGAGAGAAGCCTTCGTTAACTCTATTTATCTGGTTAGTTTTCTTTTGCTACCCATTAAGACTTCTATCAAGGAATAATGCTACGTCGTCATACCAGGCTCTTTACTGGCTAATTTCAAAAACAACACGTTCATTTTTGTTGATGAGAGAGTTTTCAGACACTTCGATTGCTAGTCATTTGCATACCTGTC